AAAAAAAAAAAAGGGTCCCATGACCCCCTCCACAATAACATCGGTTGGAAATCTTCCTGTAATATCCTGATGTGTTGGTTTGTCTTGTTTTCAGCACATCCACTTAAATGTCATATTTATCCAGATACTTGCACAGCGTATGATGAGTATATATGAAGTCAATGCTTCCTTCATGGGAAAGTGTAAAGGACTGAAAAGGTCTGTATGAAGTTGGCTTTCGGCTCAGCCTGTGTGAGGATTTCTACCTGATGAGTGTGTTGACTTTGGCGACGTCAATGTCGTACAGCTTCTTGACAGCGTGCTTGATCTGATGTTTGTTGGCCTTGACATCCACAATGAACACAAGTGTGTTGTTATCTTCAATTTTCTTCATAGCAGACTCTGTTGTCAAGGGGAACTTGATGATGGCATAGTGATCCAACCTATAAAATAAAATGCACAAGTTCTTTGGTCAGAGGTCCTCACTTAATTTCAAAGTCTCTACAATATAATTAAAGGTTAACTGCTTATTAACTATTGCTCACTACAAACATGTTATAAAAAATTTAAGATTGGTGCATCAGAAGTTTAAAAAAACTGGAATCATGCTTTTTCATGCTTTGATCGCTATTACCATCATGTGCACCAAGGTCCATGTTTGTGACCTGCGTGAACTGTTTGTAACTCACTTGTTCCTGCGAGGAGCACTCTTGCGGGGATATTTGGGCTGTCTGCGGAGACGGAGGGTTTTAGGGCGACGGAAGGTGGGAGAAGTCCTGACTTTCTTCTTCCTGTGGCTGTGTACGCCTTTCAGCACAGCCTTCTTGGCCTTCAGAGCCTTTGACTTGGCCTCAGTCTTGGCAGGGACAGCTATGATTGGGAGAAAAGAAAGTTACCACTATTAGACAGTGGTTCATTATTCTAGGCTTTGTCAATATGGCAAAGAACACTTTGGAAAATATCACAGCACTGTCAAGTCAACCTGTGGCCCACATACTTTACACAATGTACACAGCAGGTCATCTACTGAATACTGTAATGATTTGTAGCTGATCCAGTGAAAGCCACATTTACACTGACACAAATACTAAAATAAGCATTATATACAAATGAAGCTGAATGGATCTGCCTCACAGCTATTTCAAAGTTAGACAGTACTTACATTGAATCATGATCTTAAGATACATGTGCTTAAAAGACATGGGAGTTTACTTCTTACTGCTCAGTATGCACACAACCATATCTGCCGTCCACACAGTATTAACACCCAGAAGGCAGATTACTAGCACACCAACACGCTCTCAGGGTTTTTTACGTTACAGGAAGTATCGCTGACTACAACAGCTAAAACTTCAACAGTCAAATTTTCAATAACATCAAAGAAATTTAGAGATGCTCTCACGCGCTGCTAATTCAACGTTTTAAAGCCTGCTCAGGCCATTGCTAACATGAGCTAAAACACCTAATCCGCAGACATATCTGAGTTAATGAAGCCATAATGAAATGAACTAGCTAAGCCGTGTCCATAAGAGACAACTTAACAAGAAAACATTAAATAAATGTAACTGTAAACACATGCGATTTCATCAACAGCGGCTTGATTTAGCTTAGCTTAGCCAGCATCACGTTACAGTCTACATGCCGAACCCACACTCTTGAGATATCCACATATTTACAGCTCTGACAGCAATAACTTGAGCTCAAACAAAACAATTTCACTATATTCCTTTATACCGTACACATACGGTATAAATAGAGGCACCAATTCAACTAAAATATACGATTTATTCATTCAAAACTGGTAGATTCACGAACCTTCCTTCTTCACCTTCGGTGCCATGTTGAGAAAGGAAGACTGAACGGGGTTTCCTGCGGTATATTGCATGGGCGAGATCTCATAGCAAATGTATCGCGATAGTTCGGAAATTTGCTTTTTTGCTATCACATTGATGAAAAGTTGCTACGAAAATACTTTGTTTGCATGGCTCTCAAATTTATCACAACAATCTTTTCTTTCTGTATATAAATTCATGAAAAAATAATTATGTAATTAGATAAACATATCTCCCCTCTCTTTAAGCACCAGACTGTTGTTACAGTGCTGTATGTGTAATTATTGAAGGAAAATAGGTTTCAGTTAGGTTTCAACAGTTTGGACTGGCAAGAAATATATTTCAAATTTTATATATAAAGACATTTATATTTATAAAGAAATTCCGCCTGATTTAATAACAGTTATTATATCTGTGTGTATGAATACCCATTTTTTTTAAGTTTCCCTTAAAGTATTAATCGAACACTAAAAAAAAGTCTGGTGAAGGGTTGAACAGAAATGGTACATTTTAGGGCACCGTCTGTTATAGCTGGCCCTCAAGAGTACAATAACTTACAGTTTATAGTTTATTTCTAATCAAAAATACCCAGTTTCTATTTAATGTACTTTCACAGTCATCATCTTTATTAACAAATATACAAAATTCTGTTCAGTCAGGTGAGCAAATGTAATAAAATGCCAAAAAAAGTTTATACACATATAAAAGTTTATTTTATACTCTCATATTACAAAGCAGAAATGTAAAGGTTGGCAATAAATCAGACTGCAAATGCATCTTCTCATCAGTCCATCTGCATCGCACTCCTCTAGTCTGCCTTCAGCTTAGTTTTCTTCCCCTTTTTCCTGTTGAAGAAGAAAGAATGAATATTAGAAATATTTTTATTCAAGTGGGTTCAATTTCTGGCTCCATACAGGCCTCTGTGATATATTTGACAATAATGTTTCCTACTTTCAACTTTTCACAGATTTTCACTCTAATGGTATGCTAAGGAAATTGGTTTATGTTGTGTACAGAGTCATTTATCATATATGTATGGGTTTTGTTTTTGGTTTTTTACATAACAGAGTTTGATATGATTGCAGTTTGTAGTTTATTGGACTGGATAAATGTGCATGAAAGTCCTTCCCCACCTTTGTAACTTGGTTCCTGAAGTCTCTGTTGTTGTTTTCTGAGACACTTTCTTGTGTTTTTCTTTTCCTTCTTTCTGTGTTTTATTTCCTTTCTTCAGCCCCTGTCCTTTTGTCTTCTTTTCCTCTTTCTCCTGGTGTGATGTTGTTTGAGCTCTGTTTTCTCCTTTCTGCTCTCCTTTTGCTGCTCGCTTGTTTCCTTTTTTCTGATCTTTGCCTTTGGTCTTCATTAAGAAGCGAGGAGTTGTGCAAATGGTGCTTCTCTTGGGAGGTTTCTTCTCAAGTCTCCGCTTTACTTTGCTAAACAAAAAGATAACGACCAGACCGCTCTTACCAAAACTCAACAGGGAGCAATTAAGCATTAAATCAAAGGAAACATTTCTGTAAATGTGCAGGCAATCATGGAGCTTTCTTACCTGTGTATTTTCTTGAAACCAACCATGTAGTCTGGTACAGGACAGCCCGCTTGTTTTATAACATTAGCAATGCTGTTAAAGAGAAGCATAGGGGGGTAAAAAAAAGGAAAAACTACAGGCTCAGTATTTAAATTCAAGGTGCTTTAAAAATAAATGAATGGCAAGAAGTGACCTAAACTTGCAATCATTGTGCTGCAGTGAAATTATTTTATTAAAAAAAGCAACACCAACGACAGAGACCAAGAACCAAATAGGATGGTCCATGGAAAATCCAGAAAATCCTTTTAAATTGTGTGTTAACAGCTGGATATGGGTTTGAATGAAGAAAAAAAACTAACTCAGTTTGCTCTTTTCCTACCTGCGCAACAGAGGTTTGTCATTCTCTGTGAAGAAGGTGACGGCCTTCCCCTGGTGTCCAGCTCTCCCAGTACGACCTGACAGACACAGAGTGTGATACGCGTCAAAGACAAAGTGGAAACATCAGGCTGATTATTTGTGGATCACTGTCCAAACCAACCAATGCGATGGATGTACTCCACAGCGCTGGTAGGGAAGTCGTAGTTGAGTACGAGGTTTACGCCTTTGAAGTCGATTCCTCTGGCGAGCAGAGCGGTGCAGATCAACACCCAAATCTTCCCGGAGCGGAAACTGTTCACCACGTTGTCTCTCTGACACATAGGAGCAAACGATGAGGACGAGAGCACTCAATAAATAAACTGAAATGGAAATAAATGACAGGAGTGGTAGGTGTGTTGATGTACCTGCTGCTGTGTGCGGTCTGCGTGGATTACATCCACGTTGATGCCTTCATACACCAGCTCATGGAAAAGCTCCCGTGCCCTTTCTATAGTCTGAACAAACACCAGCATGGGCGGCAGGAAGCCCTGAAACACAGAAAAGAGGACTCTTTTATTTTATCTTAGCTTGTAAGATAAAATAATCAGAAATTAGAAATGATTTAAACGGGTGTTTATGCAATAACCACTAATAAATCTGTTCTATTTGAAATCAAGTAAGCTCCTTACTTTTTTGATGATATCCCTCATTGCCACAAGCTTGCCATTCTCTGTCCCGACAAACAGCAGCTGCTGATCTACTGTATCCACAGCTGTATTTCTAAAAAAGATGAAACACCCATGTTTCTATTGTGACAAAAAAAGAAGGCATGAATTTGCTGCAGTAAGCAGTTCTTCAGCTAGAGCCGTACCTGTGCCCGATGTTTACAGAAACCAGGTTGTCGAGGTTCAGGCGGCACCACTGTTCTACATCTGCCGTGCAAGTGGCGCTGAAGAAAGCCCTGCGCACCTTTGGACCGGAGCAGGCCAGAAAAATGGTGGCCAGCTGCTCTCTGAAGCCCGTCTTGCCGTCTTCAAACAGCTTATCGGACTCATCGACAATCAACCACTCCACACTGAAAAGCAACATCCAGAACATCATTGATCTGTCTTCTTTTTTTTTCTTTTTTTTTTTAAGTAATAAAGAGACAAATAGAGTGGGTACGACACACAAAAACCATCAGATTTGAGCAGATCAAATGTCACCTGCTGAGATCGATAGCTGGAGGATCCTGCTTGAGAAGGAAGATGAGTCTGTTTGGAGTACTGACGAGTATATCTGCACACAGAAACGTCAGGAGTTAAAAGCCAGTGAGATTTACTTATTTTTCTTCCCCTACGAACCAACGATCTCTTACCGTATTTTTTGTTTGACTGTGGTCCGTATTTCTTAGCCGCTAGTGACGCTTTGTCTATGATGTGAACTCTAAACCCGACTCCCTCTGACAGACGGAGCAGCTCTCTGTAGGTCTGAACACAATTCAACAACAATGACCAAATACTGCTGAAAACACAGGAAGTCAGTCACTTATCATCCTTTATCTATCACCAGCTGCTGTTGTTCACATCAGGAAAGGCCTCCTTACTTTTTTAAAAAGATCACTTTCTAATTTATGGTGCATACCTGGCTGGCCAGCTCTCTGGTTGGGGAGATGATCACACCTCTGAAGCCCTGATTGGCTGGCTGCTGCAGCTGAGCGAGCAGTGGGAGGCAGAAAGCCAAAGTCTTCCCAGATCCCGTGGGAGCGCAGGCCAGCAGCTCCCGACCCTGACAGACAAACCAAACCAAGAGTGAAACCCTCAGAAAAATCATCGTCTGTGCACTAATCACAAATCAAAGAAATGAGGACGAGCGTGCGTGCTTACATGCATCATGAGGGGCATCGCCTGCATCTGTATCGGCGTTGGGGAACTGAGCCCGGCGTCTCTGAGGTTCTGAAGGACACGCGGGTTGAGGCGATACTCGGACAGCAGCTCCTCGAATGTGCACACAGGGTCAGGTATGTCACAGCCGTGCACATTTATGCGGTTTTGGGCGCGAATACGATTGACCTAGAATGAAAGAGAAATACCTTTTTCGATGGCGGATAGGGGGACAGCAGTAGTTCTGCACAGCATTTCACCACTAAGAAGTTTTAAAATGTTGCAGAATCTCTTTATTTTACTTCTTTGTGCTATAAAATGTAGCCCAGTAAGGACCTTTTCCTGATGAAGATGCTTCAGCCTCTTCAACGAAGATTTCTCCTTCCCGTCACTCGGCAGGTTTTGGATCTTTCTGTCCAAAGAAGAGGTCCAGGTGATGCCAGTTCCCTGCGTCTCTTTCAGCAGTTCACCGCCAGCTTCAGCCAGACAGAAGACATCAAACAGGAGTGAACAGCTAGAATCATGTTCATTCTAAATGTCACTCGAAATTTTTGTAATAACAAGGTTTCCATAGTGAACACTTTAAAACTGCATCCTTTACTACTACAACTTCTTTACCTTTCACCTCCGCTTGGTTGCTTTTGGTCTTTTTCTTCTTCTTTTTGGTCCTCACTTCTCTCTCCTCCTCTTTGCGCTTTCTTTTGCCTCCTATGTCGGAATCTCCGTCTTCACTTCCCTCATATTCTTCCCTGCCCTCCTCTTCCTCCTGTGCCTGGGTCCAGCTCTGGGCTCCATTGGCAGTGGCAAAATAATCAATCGCAGAGAGAGGATCGGGAGAAGCTTCTTCTGAGTGACTCCTCACGGGCTACAAAATAAAACGATACACAAACGTGTGTGTACATGTATGTGTGAGTGTTACGGTTGTACAATTCTTCAAATACATGTATTAAGCACAACAACTTGCCTAAAACGTTATACTCCTACACAAGCAGGACAGCAAAACTCGAGGTTAGCTAAAATGCATTAAACCATAGCGATTCGTTAACAGCAGCATGAACTGTTTTCATCCAGTACGTCATCAGCTACACTATAAAGCTTACCTTAAACCGAGCGGCGTCCTGACCAAACCTCTTCAGGTCAAATCTAGCCCCAACTCCGAGTTTCCGAAACAACTCGAACGCGTCCATTTCTACAACAGCGTGGTGTGCCCCGATCAGGCATCACTAATCAACATCCGGATCATCCACCTCTCGCCTCTGGCGCCCCCTGTTGGGGGCTGTGAGTGTTACAGCGAGTGAGGCAACTTTACACTAATTATCCTCGTGTGTGTGTGTGTATATATAAACCATATTATCCCAATTCTGGCCGATTTAGAAGAAAATTGTGTAAGAGTTGCTTCTTCAAGGATTTTCTTTATTTGTTACAATTCATAATCATACAATCACAGGTCAACCACGTGACCTGTGAAAGTGACACTAACAGATGAACATGATTCAACAATCTGAAAGTACTAACTTTACTGTTTTACTTCCATGGTGTTGTGAACAGCTGTTCAAAGCAACTGCCACTCATTCTGAGGACTATAATAAAGATGCTCTCCTGATATCTTGAAGTGGACTAAAAACTAACACTTCTGCACAGGACTGTATTTGATGAAACTTTAGAGTAGAGCGTATCTCATACATTCTGATTTTTGCAGTAGCAACCTTTAAGGTTGGATAGTGACCCAAAGTAGCAATTCTTTTTTTTTTTTTATGTAACATCAAATCACAATTTTTTTATACACTTTAAATTTTAAGGTATCAAATGGTAAGCTCTCAAAGGATGCCCCGATGAGTAAGCACTTGGCAACAGTAGGAAAAGCTCCCTTTTAACAGTAAGAAACCTCCAGCAGAATCAGGCTCAGGAAAGGGCAGCCATCTGCTGCAACAGGCTGGGGGTGAGGGGCAGGGAGACAAAACAAAAAGTACACTATGGAAGAGAGCCAGATTAATAATTAAATATACAGTGTGAAGAAGAAATGCTTAGTGCATCATGGTAAATCCCCCAGCAGCCTGATCCAGCCCGAATCTTAAAAGCAGAGAGGATGCCTGTCTCCTGAATCCAAACTGGGAGCTGGTTCCACAGAAGAGGGGCCTGAAAGCTGAAGACTGCCTCCCATTCTACTTTTAAATATCCTAAGAACCACAAGTAAGCCTGCATTCTCAGAACTAAGCGCTCTATTGGAGCATTATAGGTCTGTAAAATGGGCCCGATTATTTAAGACCTAGTATGTGAGGAGAAGAACTCTAAATTTGAATCTGAATTTAACAGGGAGCCAGTGAAGAGAAGCCAATATGGGAGAAATGTGCTCTCCCTCCCTCCCTCTCCGGAGCATTTTGGATCAACTGAAGGCTTCAGTTCAGTTCAGTACATTTCTTGGCAACATGTTTCAAAAGAACGTTTTTATAGTTTAACAAATCCAGACTGCAGGGAAGTACATGCTTACACTTAAAAATCTTTAATCATATTAGTAAAATTAAAAAGACACAATCATCCTCTAACTAAGAATGACCAAAGTGGTATAAATGCATGAGATCAATACATAGGATTCAATTTATTCTTTTTCTTCCTGAAAATATTTGTATTTTTTCAGATTTCAAATATCTTTGAACAGATGTTCAACATTATCAGTCATAAATCACTGCCCAGCAGTTCATACATGATCCGCTTTGCTTTCAGTCACCTCTCTGTTAGTTTGGGTGTTTTCCCAAGTCGCTTCACAAATCTTTATTAAATCCTCCAGGAAATGACTCACCATCTCCTTACCCCTCTCCTCCTCCCCTTCCACCTTTAACCCCTTTATCCTGATCAAAATCTGCTCCACACTTCCAATTCTCTCCCAAGGGTGCAAACTTTCCCCCCTTATATCCTTCTCTGCCTCCTCTCCTCCTCCTTCCTCTGCTCGGAGGTACTTCATCAAATGCTCTCTGATGCCCGTCCCCTCCTCGCTGGCCAGCGACGCGCCGAGCCCGATCATGTCCTGTGACTGGCTTACGCTGAGCAGGTGTAAGAGAGCCTGAGAGAGTGTGTGTCGCAGGCTGGCGCTGTAGCGGTACTCCAAGAAGTCGTTGGTGTCTTCGCTGTTCTCAAGGGCTGTCGCGAGGGAGCACCACACATGGGTGAACCGCTCTGTGTCTCCATAGCAGCCGCGGTGGGCGGGAACTGCAAGGGCAGCGGCAGATTTGATCCGCACTTTAAAGTTCTTACAGGAAGTAACAACATGGCAGAGCGCAGAGAACGCTTCGTGAGACCAGGCAGCTGAGTCTGATGAAGAGATGGACATGAGCAGCTTTTCAAAAAAACTGAAATCCAAATGAATCACTGCTGGAGACATTTTGCACAGCAGCCTCCTTCAAATGTAATGCATAACACTGACAATGTATGATGCTTTTACAGCCCTGTGGTTAAACACTTACCTAGCGGCAAGGCGGGGTTTCTGAAAGCATTTCCCAAAGCATAACAGGCGTTCCATCTGACCTTCATCGTAGCCTCTGATTGGACCGTTTTAACCAGAGCACGCACTGCATCTTCCAGTGGCTGCTGGAACGCAGGCCTGGTCATCTGACTCTGCCGCAGGAAATGAAGCAGATTCCCGAGAGCGCGCACTGCATTAGACTTCACCTGGTAGGGATCGAGGGAGGACGTAAGTACACTCTACAAGATCTAACAGATGAATTCGGGGGCGTTTTAAAATAACCTGCATGTTTGTGTGAGTGTGAAAGCGTAGCTGCTCGCACCCTGTCTTTGTCTGCTGCTGCTCGCGTGGCTGCCTGCAGCATCTTGAGCAGCAACATGTCTGATAACTCTTCCTGGAAGTCCACACCTACACTCTCCCTGGTTAAAGAGAAACAAGATCAACTGTTTATAGGCATTCGGTATATTTTATTCTACCCTTTTAATATGATTTCAGTCTGTTCTGAGATTATATGTGTGGTACATCCATGCTGTCTTACATATTAACAATAAGAGTGTCTGTGAGGTTCCCAAGGGACCAGGCAGCCTTGGCACGCACATTTGTAGATCGATCATCGAGCGCAGCTAGGATAGTGTTTGCAGTATCAGCCACAAACATGACATCCTGAAAAGAAGAACATAATTGTTCTATTTGTTCCAGAGGTTTACATATCTTGGATTCAAAATATCTGATTTAAATTGTAAATTGTGGTCATAGCTGGTGATCAGCACACCTACCTCTCTCAAGCAGGGGAACAGTACGTAGATCCCCAAAGCCCTGACGGCTGCCGTCTTCACCAGGTAGTTTTCAATATAGGTGAGTCCCAGCAGCACAGTGATGCACATCAGCTGGGTCTTGTCCTTAAAAACAACAGTACACATACAGCGCCGTGAAGCTCGGCAGCACTAGTGCAGAAAAACAAGTCCAATAAAAGGGGATAACTCACAGGCAGCTGTGCAAAGGCCTGCGGCAGAATGGAGGAGAGCGTGTCACAGGCGCTCGCCTGCAGCGTGGGATGTTGCTCATTCTGCAGCGCTCGGTTTAACGGGCCGCTCAACACTTCTGACCAAAACTGCACCACCTGTATTGTACACACATTGATTAAATTACCACACATTAATGTGGATTAGAGAGATTTTTTTTTTAAAAATATAACCTGTTCTTAATGCCTCCTTTTACTGTTGCTAAAGCCTGCACAGAAATTATCTGTACCTCAGTGGCAGCAGCTTAACTCTCAGTCTGTGCTCGACCTGTAGCTCATATGAAATCGTGCTCCTACCCCTGTAAGTATAAGTATTTCAGGAAACTGTGGTTATCTTTATAATTACAAAGAGATTTTCCATCTAAGATCTCTGGGCTCTTTGAACTCAGGTTTTACACTTCTGAAAAATTATTTTACAATCTCTTAGAAATGCACATCAGTGTGTGAGGACAGAAAACATGACATTAGTGTCAAAGTCTGAGAAAAGTTTGCTTAAATGCTCTAAAACGTTACATAAATATATATTTTAAACCTGTCTGTTACATATGGATATTAAGAATAGCACTTTCACTTAGATTTTAACCCTAAATTTGCTGACTCCATCTTTGAAACAGGCGAATGAGGATTTCTCCAAAAAGGACGAAGTGCATTTGTTTAAACCTCTGTAATCATATGCTGTGTGTAATGCACTGTGTAGAAATGATCTGCATTTACCTGGCTTATGGGGACCCTTGAGCTCTCAGGCACGTTGTTTTCTGCTCTGTACTGTTGAATTATTCCCGAACCAAACTCCTCTAGCAACTAAATAAAAGACAGATGTTATTTCTAAATATCTGATACTTGTTTTATTGTGTACTGTTGCAGGATCAGTATTCAATTTATACTGCTATATTATATAGAGGGCATTACTTTTGCTCCGTGCAGCTGTATGGAGGTGTCCATCTCCCCAAGACAGCGTGCGCTCACTTGCCCAATCTCACACAGGTAGTGTTGAGTTAGAGGGAAGTAGCCACGCACCAGGTGAGACAAGACCTGAAACACAAGAGATTAAAAACATCTTCAGACTTTAGAAATGCCTGTTTGGAGCTTCCTGTCTGGCTCATTATTGCTCACCTGCAGAGCTTCAAGTCGAACAGGAGGTGGCTCTAAAGCAACACCCCCTCCCACTCCTTCGCTGTCTGATTGGTCCTCTCTGGGTTGAGTCACTAGTGTCACACAGAGCTGCAGCAGCCACAGTCGCCGGCTGTCCTCTTCCCCTGGTGTGTGAGGAATGTGTGGGGAGTGTGTGCTAGAGCTCCGCTGGGAATGTTTGACTGGTGTACGAGAGGGTGAGGACACCCCGTCTCTTTGTCTCCAGCTGAGGCCCGAGTCCTGTGGCGTGAACACACCCATGATGCTGCTGTGATCTGGCTGCTGGAGGAGCAGCTGCACCTCAGGGAGAGGAGCCTGCGTGGTCACCAGAGCGCCATAAAGTGTCAGGACTGACACACGCACATTCACATCTAAAGAAGGACAGATAGTTGTGTGGACGGTAACAGACTTCAGTGTCTTACATCCTATTGGCAGTTATTTCAGCGTGCCGACAACATACAGACCTCTGTGGCGCACATACGGACGAATCTGCTTCCAGAGCTGAGTGAGCAGGCCAGGTCTGAGGCGGTGATAGGGAGCGTTGGCTACCAAGTAGGCCAGACACTAACAGACGGAGCAGACGGATATTTACAGTGTGGATAACAAAGATGCATGTCAGAATTCAGCACTCTCTCAGCTCATTTC